GCGGGGTGTCACCCGGTCTCCGCTCCGGGTGACACCAGGCCTCGGGACGCCCCTGGGCACACAGACACAAATATAGCGCAATGCACCTAAAATTGCTGTCAGTTTTTTTTTTGTTTCAGTGTGTGGCCCCATTGGCGAGATTTACCCCCACTTCCTGTCCCTGTGCCACCCCTATGTGAAATGGGGGGAGGGGTCATCAGGGGGTCACACGCAGCAATGTGCACATTGACAGTTGTTCTTCTAACTCACCCAGATTCTACCAAACGTGTTTATTTTCTGTTAACCCATTGGGGAGATTCACCCTCACTTCCTGTCCCTGTGACCCCCCCCATACATTAAATGAGGGGAGTGGCCATCACTGGACAGGAAGTTCCGGACAGCAATATGAACATTGTTAAGTGTTCTAACATCCCTCTCTACTAAATGTTTTTAGGCTGTGACCCCATTGGGGAGATTTACCATCAATTCCACTCCTTGTGACACCTGTACAAGTAATGGGGGGGGGGTCAGTTGTCACCGGGCAGGAAGTCACAGACAGGAATATGAACATTGCCAGTTGTTCTAACACGCCCCCACTCTACTTAACATGCTTTTGTCTGTGATCCCATTGGGGGAGACTCACCCTCACGTCCTGTCCCTGTGACACCCGTACAAGAAATGAGTGGTTGTCATCGGGACGGGAAGTCCTAGACAGTAATATAAACACTGCCAGCTGTTTTAACCCCGTCCCCTCTCTCCACTAAACGTCTTTTTTTTTCTGTGACCCCACTGAGGAGATTCGCCCTCACTTCCTGTCTCCATGACACCTATACAAGAAATAGGGGGAGTGGTCATCACAGAGACAGGAAGTCCCAGACAGCAATATGAACATTGTCCGCTGTTCTAACCCATTTCTGCTCTAGAGAAATTTCTCATCACTTCCTGTCCCTGTGACACTGTACTAGTGATAGGGGAAGTGGTTGGGGAGATTTCTCATCACTTCCTGCCCTTGTGACACCGTACTAGTGATAGGGGAAGTGGTTGGAAAGATCTGTCATCACTTCCTTTCCCTGTGACACCATACAAGTAATGGGGGAAGCTGTTAGAGAGATTTATCATCACTTCCTGTCCCTGTGACACCATGCAAGTAATGGGGGAAGCTGTTAGAGAGATTTCTCACCACTTCCTGTCCCTGTGACACCATACAAGTAATGGGGGAAGCTGCTGGAGACATTTATCATCACTTCCTGTCCCTGTGACACCATACAAGTAATGGGGGAAGCTGCTGGAGACATTTATCATCACTTCCTGTCCCTGTGACACCATACAAGTAATGGGGGAAGCTGCTGGAGACATTTATCATCACTTCCTGTCCCTGTGACACCATACAAGTAATGGGGGAAGCTGCTGGAGACATTTATCATCACTTCCTGTCCCTGTGACACCATACAAGTAATGGGGGAAGCTGCTGGAGACATTTATCATCACTTCCTGTCCCTGTGACACCATACAAGTATTGGGGGAAACTAAATATAAAGTTTTTTGGGACGCCCTCCTCCGAGAATGTCAGTAAATCAGCCCACGTTGCCGGTGATTCCCCCGGGGGGGTTCCGGCTACCACCTCCGCTGGGAGTCGGCTCCTCCGGGCGCCCAGGCACCGTGCCTGCCGAGTGTGCCGAGGTCCAGGAAAAAAAAGTCTCCGGATTATTTTTAGTGTCCAATGAACGGCGCCGGCTGTGAGGAGAAGAGGACAGAGCGAGCTTTGAGTGTGAGCTACACCCAGCCCAAAATCCCAAATCCCCCCCCCCCTTCTCCTGACCGAGAGCCGTGATGATGATGGAGCCGCACAGACGTCTCCTTATCCTGCTCTGCCTGCTGCACGGACAAGGTCAGTCTGCACCCCAATATACCTGAACCCCACTTATCCCTGTGCACGTCTACCAGACAGGGGCTGTCCCACTGGGAGCGGGGGGCTCTCTGCAGTCTCTAAAGAAGTGAAACCCTCACAAGCTTCATGTACTTTGCTGATCTCTCTCATGTGTATGCATGTCTACCAGACAGGGGCTGTCCCACTGGAAGCAGGAGACTCTCTGCAGTCTCTAAGGGTGGGAAACCCTCACAAGCCTTTTGTGCTTTGCTGATCTCTCGTCTCTCATCTCACTGCAAGTCTACCAGACGGGGGCTGTCCCACTGGAAGCAGGGGGTTCTCTGCACCCTTCCAAGCCCCACCTACTTTGCTGATCTCTCTCATCTCTATGCATGTCTCTCCCATTGGAAGCAGTAGGTTCTCTGCAGTCTCTAAGGGTGTGAAACCTTCCCAAGGCTTATGGGCTTTGCTGATCCTCTCATCTCTATGCATGTCTCTCCCATTGGAAGCAGTAGGTTCTCTGCAGTCTCTAAGGGTGTGAAACCTTCCCAAGGCTTATGGGCTTTGCTGATCCTCTCATCTCTATGCATGTCTCTCCCATTGGAAGCAGTAGGCTCTCTGCAGTCTCTAAGTAAGTGAAACCCTCACAAACCTCCTGTGCTTTGCTGATCTCTCTCATGTGTATGTAAGTCTACCAGACAGGGGCTGTCCCATTGGAATCAGTAGACTCTCTGCAGTCTCTAAGGGTGTGAAACCTTCCCAAGGCTTATGGGCTTTGCTGATCCTCTCATCTCTATGCATGTCTCTCCCATTGGAAGCAGTAGGCTCTCTGCAGTCTCTAAGTAAGTGAAACCCTCACAAACCTCCTGTGCTTTGCTGATCTCTCTCATGTGTATGTAAGTCTACCAGACAGGGGCTGTCCCATTGGAATCAGTAGACTCTCTGCAGTCTCTAAGGGTGTGAAACCTTCCCAAGGCTTATGGGCTTTGCTGATCCTCTCATCTCTATGCATGTCTCTCCCATTGGAAGCAGTAGGCTCTCTGCAGTCTCTAAGTAAGTGAAACCCTCACAAACCTCCTGTGCTTTGCTGATCTCTCTCATGTGTATGTAAGTCTACCAGACAGGGGCTGTCCCATTGGAATCAGTAGACTCTCTGCAGTCTCTAAGGGTGTGAAACCTTCCCAAGGCTTATGGGCTTTGCTGATCCTCTCATCTCTATGCATGTCTCTCCCATTGGAAGCAGTAGGCTCTCTGCAGTCTCTAAGTAAGTGAAACCCTCCCAAGCTTCATGTGCTTTGCAGATCTCTGTCATCTCAATGCGTGTCTAGCAGACAGGGGCTGTCTTATTGGAAACAGTAGGCTCTCTGCAGTCTCTAAGGGTGTGAAATGCTCCCAAGCCTTGTGTGCTTTGCTGACCCTCTCAAGTTACATACACTTTGCTGATCTCTCTCATCTCACTGCATGTCTACCAGACCGGATCTGTCTGATTGAAAACAGTAGACTCTCTGCAGTCTCTAAGGGTGTGAAAACCTCACAAGCCTTATGTTAGATGTGATCTAGGCAGTTTAGGGTTTACGGTCACATGGGGGACTCTCTCATTACTAAATGTGATGTTGAT